GTCCCCATCCTCTCAGGACAGGGATCAAAGCCATGGGGAGAGAGGCAGCCAGCCCAGTCACCCAGTTGGATCCTGATGTTTATTATTCTTTATTGTTTTTTCTTCTCCTGAAGAAACAGAGAGAGGAAAAAAAAATCTCTCTCTGTCCAAAATCACTCATCCTTCCTAATAATGAGAGCTGTCAGCAGCCCTGCTTGGCGAGGAAATGATGCTCGCAGTAAATATTTGGTCTGGAACTGATTTATGGGTGGAAAAAAATGAGATTAGTGCTTAATCACTGCCTTTCAGGAAGGGCTTTGGGCTGGGGTTGAGCTCAGGGGGGCTGGGGCCATGCCAGGGGAGCAGCACTGGGATTTTTGGTGGAGACTGGGTGGTGGGGTTGGGATTGAACAGCAGCAGGTGAGGGGATGGAGTGGATTTGGGCCACCAGGCAGGGATAGATGGGATTTTGGGAAGGAATTGTTCCCTGGGAGGGTGGGCAGGCCCTGGCACAGGGTGCCCAGAGCAGCTGTGGCTGCCCCTGGATCCCTGGTAGTGCCCAAGGCCAGGCTGGACAGGGCTTGGAGCAGCCTGGGACAGTGAGAGGTGTCCCTGGCCATGTCCTTTAATGAGCTCTGATGTCCCTTGCCACCCAACCCATTCCATGGCTCCATGGCTCCATGACCATCGGCTGTGGGGCTGACCCCAAGGAGTTCCAAGCCAGGAGAGCTGCTCAGCTGGACCAGCCTGGAACCATCCACCCCATCCTGAGCCCAGCGCACCCAAAGAGGTCCTTGCAGCCACCCTAAACACAGCAGCAGCTTTCCTCTGTGAGGAAATAATTAGCTTATTAGAAGATGGTTTAATTTTCTTCATTAAGAGGCCATTTCCTATCGCCTGGCAGGGCCAGATGCCCCTGGGCACCACTGGGAGTGGTGGGACATTTCAGCTCCAGAGCCTGCCCACCCTGCCAGGGAACAATTCCCTCCCAATATCCCATCCATCCCTGCCCTCTGGCAGTGGGAAGCCATTCCCTGTGCCCTGGCCCTCCATCCCTTGTCCCCAGTCCCTCTCCAGCTCTCCTGGAGCCCCTTCAGGCCCTGCAAGGGGCTCTGAGCTCTCCCTGGAGCCTTCTCCTCTCCAGGTGAGCACCCCCAGCTCTCCCAGCCTGGCTCCACCTCAAAGGGCTGCAAACGAGGTGAGGAACTAAAGGTGCCACACAAACCTGAGCTCTCCTCCTGGAGAGGAGCCCAGAGCAGGAGGGACCTCCAGAAGACAACACAGACCAACCACCTTAGGCTCTATTTTAAGATAAAACCATCCAGAATCCAATGCTGGTGTGGAAGAGCCCAAGTGGCCAAGGCTTCCTTGGTGGTAAAACCAGTGCCCAGATGAACTCCACAAAATGGGAGGGAAGGAAAAACAAAGGGTCAGGAGCAGATTCCTGGCAGGGGCTGTTAAATCCATCCATGCTCTGCATGGAAAAGTTGTGGCATCAGGAAATGTTCCAGAAGATCAGAACTTTTTGGTTTGAAGTGGGTCATAAACACCCTTCCCCCACGAAAACGCCCTTGGGATTTTTAGAGTGGCTGAGGACAGAGAGGGACGAGATCCAGTGCTGTGGGAATGTAAAAAACCCAGTGTTTGTGGATTTGCCTGCTTTGTCCTGCTCTCAGAAACAAGTGTTTGTTTAGACGCTGCTCATCAGAGGAACATGAAAAAACTCCCAAAATAAATGTCTTTCTTAATTGAAGAGCCAGTGTTTCTCTGAAGGAAATTGCTTTGAGGGACTGACACTAATTTTCAATTTTTTTCCCCTTCTCTGCTTCTATTTTAAGGAAACAAAAAGAAAACTTCACAAGACTTTGAAAGTGCACTTTGTTGAGTGGGGTTTTTTTTCTTCTCTTTGGCCACTGAAAACCCCATGAGAATGGTGATAACTGAGCTTCTCCCATGTGGATATTGGCTCTCACCTGATAAAATCAGCTTTTTTCCAAAGGTACCTTTATGAAATCATGAATATTTAAAACCAAAACTTCACTTGTTAAACATGAGGAGCTCTCCTCTGCTTGCCCGTGGTTTTGAAGTGGACAAAGTTCAAATGAGAGGGAAACTCCACGTGGGAAAATGAAACCCTCCTGTGAAAGGAACTGCAAAGAGATTTCTTTGCTTCCTGAAAATGCTGTAATTGAAAAAAAAAAAAAAAAACCCAAAAAAAAACCAACCAAAAAAACCAGTCAGAGGCCAACTTGGTTCTCTTATCAGTTTTAGTGTTATTATTTCTCTGAGCCATTTCCAGGATTTTTCTCTGACTGCTGGTGGAGACAAACCAAGGAAAATTTATTCCCAAAACCTGAACAATGTGGCAAACTGATCCTGCTAGTCATCCCAGATAATTGCTATGGAATGCTTTCTTTTGGGGAAAAGCCTGTTCTGGCGCCATAGCTGTGGGCATTAAATGACATTTATCTCCCCCATGGGATCAAACCCTGGGAAGGGTGGTCTGGGATAACCCCGGGAGCAGAGCTGGGCAATCCGGATGGATGGATGGATGGAGGGATGGATGGATGGATGGAGGGATGGATGGATGGATGGATGGATGATGGATGGATGAATGAGGGATGGATGGATGGATGGATGGATGGATGGATGGATGATGGATGGATGAATGAGGGATGGAGGGATGGATGAACAACCTGTCATGGCAACAAGTCTTTTATGAAGTGCCCATGACTGGCCTCACCCTCCAGCCCTGGCCTAAGGATGAGTTTTGACCCTTTTTTGCTGAAGAAGCCCCAAACAAGGCTTGGTTTGCCCCTTGTCCCTCAGGCACTCCTTGTCCTGAAGCCAGAGGAGAGGATGTCCTGTCCCTGTGAGCCCCCTGTGCCAGGGGGTTTTCCATGGGTGAGGATGTCCCTGATCCTCTCCAGGCTTCAGTTCTTGTCCCCATCCTCTCAGGACAGGGATCAAAGCCATGGGGAGAGAGGCAGCCAGCCCAGTCACCCAGTTGGATCCTGATGTTTATTATTCTTTATTGTTTTTTCTTCTCCTGAAGAAACAGAGAGAGGAAAAAAAAAATCTCTCTCTGTCCAAATACTTCTAACTTGCAGACTAAATCATGCTGCTGAAAAGTGTGTGGTAAAAAAATTATGTGATATTAAACCTTGAATTTTTTTCTTTTGTCCCCTTCATGATCCAGACCCTGGATAATTTGAGATGAGGACCAATCACTCATCCTTCCTAATAATGAGAGCTGTCAGCAGCCCTGCTTGGCGAGGAAATGATGCTCGCAGTAAATATTTGGTCTGGAACTGATTTATGGGTGGAAAAAAATGAGATTAGTGCTTAATCACTGCCTTTCAGGAAGGGCTTTGGGCTGGGGTTGAGCTCAGGGGGGCTGGGGCCATGCCAGGGGAGCAGCACTGGGATTTTTGGTGGAGACTGGGTGGTGGGGTTGGGATTGAACAGCAGCAGGTGAGGGGATGGAGTGGATTTGGGCCACCAGGCAGGGATGGACAGTGAGAGGTTTCCCTGGCCATGTCCTTTAATGAGCTCTGATGTCCCTTGCCACCCAACCCATTCCATGGCTCCATGGCTCCATGACCATCGGCTGTGGGGCTGACCCCAAGGAGTTCCAAGCCAGGAGAGCTGCTCAGCTGGACCAGCCTGGAACCATCCACCCCATCCTGAGCCCAGCGCACCCAAAGAGGTCCTTGCAGCCACCCTAAACACAGCAGCAGCTTTCCTCTGTGAGGAAATAATTAGCTTATTAGAAGATGGTTTAATTTTCTTCATTAAGAGGCCATTTCCTATCGCCTGGCAGGGCCAGATGCCCCTGGGCACCGCTGGGAGTGGTGGGACATTTTCAGCTCCAGAGCCTGCCCACCCTGCCAGGGAACAATTCCCTCCCAATCTCCCATCCATCCCTGCCCTCTGGCAGTGGGAAGCCATTCCCTGTGCCCTGGCCCTCCATCCCTTGTCCCCAGTCCCTCTCCAGCTCTCCTGGAGCCCCTTCAGGCCCTGCAAGGGGCTCTGAGCTCTCCCTGGAGCCTTCTCCTCTCCAGGTGAGCACCCCCAGCTCTCCCAGCCTGGCTCCAGAGCAGAGGGGCTCCAGCCCTTGGAGCATCTCTGTTGCTTCCTCTGGGCTCTCTCCAGCAGCTCCAGGTCCCTGCTGTGCTGGGACACTGCGCTGGATGCAGAGTTCCAGTTGGGATGCAGGGATTATGGATGACACATTCCAGGAATCCCTGAGGTGTTGCACTGCCAGATGTTCTCGAAAGGTCTCTGTCCCAAATGCTGCAGATCTCCAGCGGGCTGAGCTGCCTCTCCCAGGGCTCTCTCTGCTCCTCACTCTGTGGCAGCCAGAGTGGGAGCGGATGAGCCGGAGTGGCTCCGCAGTGCCAGGATCCTCAGCCTGGCCCATCTGACCTGCCAGTGTCACTCTGCATCCCAAATCCTTCCAGTCTGGTGCAGCTTTGGGATCATCTGAGCCAGCAGAACAACACTGGGCCTTGTCCCAGTGTGGAAAAATGGGACAGGAGGGAGAGGCAGGTGACTCCTCCTCCCTGCTCTGTAGAATTTCATTTCTGAGGAACTTCCCCCAATGTCCTGGGTTGTCCACACCACAGCCCTGTGCCTTGACAAGCTGATTCCTGGGAATCTCTTGGGGTGCCTCACATTCTGCACTGCAGCCCACCCTCTCTTGGGCCCTTTATTTGATGTAGTGACATTAAATGTGACCATTTAGGGGATTTGACAAGGTCAGCAAGGCTGAGGCTGACGAGCTTTTGGACCCAATGATTTGTTTTCACTCAGGTTCTCAAGAAGAAAAGCTCTGGAATGTTTCTTAATGAAAATTGCCTTTGTTTGATGGCAGGGAGGGATTGGGAATTCTCATGAGGAAGTTGCATTAATTATCACATGGGAGACGGTGCAACAACACCCCCATCCCATGGGTGCCACCAGCCCATCCCCAACCCTTTCCCTTCACTTTTCCTCCTTTTTCCTCTTTTCCCTCCCAGAGTCAAGAAGAAGAACAAGCCCCTGAACCTCAAGATCCACAACAGCGTGGGGAGCTGTGAGAACATCCCGGCCCAGCGCTCCCCTCTCCTCTCCGAGCGCTCCCTGCGCTCCTTCTTCGTGGGGTACCCGCCCTTCCTGCCCTCCACCCCGCCCGTCCACACCGAAGCCACCTTCTCTGCAAGTGAGTGCCCGCGGCCCCCTCGGATCCCTCTTCCAAGGGGTGGGAGATGCCAAGCAGAGGATGGGACCAGGGAGTTTTGGAGTCAATGGTTTGGAGGATGTTGGTTGAGTGTTGTGGAATGAGCCCAGCCCTTGTGGAGGTGCCTCATGTTGGTGTTTAGAGATCTGTGGGTGCTTCTGGGCAAAGATAGCCACAAAAACTTGATTATTTCTGGTTTTTGGGAAAGCCGTGAGGTTTCTGTGCTGTCTGGGTTGGTGGCACTGCCTGGATGTCACCTAAAAGTGACTTTTTTGAGGGTTGCTTTGTAAACCTTTGTGGTTTCACCTCTGTGTTTAAACCTCTCCCTCTTGCTGGATGTGGAGCTGATGTGGAGTTTTGGGAAGCCAGTCCTGGTGCAAAGCCCGTGGAGCTGATCCCAGCAGCCAGCCCTGATCCCACCTGGCAGGGCTTTGTCCTCTCCCAGGAGATGCTGGTGGTGGCACTCACTGGGTGGGTTTGGCTCCATGAGCTCACCCAGGTCTGGGAGGAACAGCCTGATCCTCATTTCCTGGTCCCAGACCAGTGCTGGGATTAATTCCACAGGGACTGAAACTTTTACAAGCCAGGCGTGGCTCTTGGCCCAAGAGAAACTTCCCTGGAGGAAACACGTGGCAGCTGCTGGGAGTGATTCCCAGCCAAGTCAAGTTCCCTTTGCCTCTTGTTCCTCAGATACAACTTCCTCCAACTCCACATCCAGGCTGGGTTTCTGTCACCTTTCCTTCCCTGGATTTTCCCCTTGTTTCATTTCTGGAAATGTCTTCCTGGCTTGTTTTGGGGTCTTCCACTCATTCCTCCTGCTCAAGAAGTAGGCTGGGGAAGGTTCTGCAGCCAAAGAAGTGTTTGCAGCTCCCTTCCGTTCCCTTCCCTTCCCTTCCCTTCCCTTCCCTGCCCTGCCCTGCCCTGCCCTGCCCTTCCCTTCCCTGGCAGTTTGGGATCACTGAGGGCTCATCCAGCCAGTCCTGCTGTCCTTTTCCTCCTGTCCCTTTGGCTTTGGGGACAGTGGCACCTGGCAGGAGCTCTGCAGGCAGACAATGCTGTTCCCAGAGATATCCAACACCTGATTCCTTGCCTGGAGCGAGGGGGATTTCTGCCTTGCTGTTTCCCACATGGAATTGTCTGTGCTCAGCTCACAGCCCGGACCAACAGAGCAGGAGCCACGGACCAAAGCCCATTCCCAGCCCCCCCATGAGTGTCTCCTTGGATTAGTTTTGCCCACCCCTCAGTGCTGGATTGCGTGCCATGCTGTGACATCCTGATGGAACGTGGCACCGCCGCAGCGGGACGCCGTGGGCAGTGATGGGCTGGCAAGTGACTGACACTGCTGGGGAGGTGTTTTCTCTCATTTCCCTCCGACTTCCCTGGCTGCTGGGAATGTTTTCCAGGCTGGAAGGGAGCTGGGTTTCCCCAGCTGGTTGATCCCTGCTGGGAGGTTTTGGCATCAGCGGAGCTGTTTTGTCATAGTTGAGATGGAGGCAATACAAAGCAACACAGTTTTCAGAAGGCTTCAAACCTGCTTTTATTGCAGCATGCATGCTTTTTATACATTCTTACAAAGCCCATAAGTTTACACTTTACTCATTGGTCAGGAAAGACAAGCAAAGTGCTCATTGGAACAGGCAGTTGCAGGTTTCTCTTATTTATCCTTCTCTCTTTCTTGGTTTCTTTGCCAATGACCTTGGTAGGAAATTCTTTCAGGGGTAAACATGGATTCTCTGATCAAACTTCTCTCTGGCTCACAGAAGTCACTATAAAACCTTTTCCATACTGTTTGGTCCTTGCAGGATCAACATCCGTGTGGGAGTTACACCAAGCAGAGCAGACGTTTGTTTGTAGGGAGCAGAATCATGGAATGATTTGGGCTGGAAGGGAGCTTGAAGCTCATCCACTTCCATGGGCAGGGACACCTCCCCCTAGGGCAGGTTGTTCCAAGCCCTCCCTGCATCCCAAGGATTCCCTGTCCCCATCCTTGTGGTGGTTCAACAGCTGAGCTCTCCACAATATCCCATCCCTATGTTTTTTCCTAAAAATCCCTCTTCCTTTTTCCTCCTGTGGGAGCAGCACAAGAGCACCCAGATGCTCTGGATTGCTGTGGAATTACTTCCCTAAGCACGGAAACACAAAAATTGTTGTTGTTGTCGTCAGCTGGAGATGGGTGAGGGGAGCCCAGTGAGGCCCCGTCCCTCCCTGGCTGTCTCTCCATGATTTCTTTTCCACTGCCTTGCTGCTCCTGGCAGGAGCACGTTCCCATCTGAGTCATCCCTGGCCCGGGTCAGGAGTGGGTTTGGATGCTTCCCTCTGATTTTTAACATCCCTTTGTCCTGATGGGAATGGATTTTCACAGAGGGCTGGAGGGAGCTGCAGAAGGAGCCTCTTCCTCCAGCAAATCTGGCCAGGGGAATCACAGGATTATGGAATATCCTGAGTTGATCCCCAGGGATCACTGATCCAGCTCCTGTCCCTGCCCAGACCCCCCAACAACCCCACCCTGTCCATCCCTGGCAGCGCTGTCCAAAGGCTCCTGGAGCTCTGGCAGCCTCGGGGCCGTGCCCATTCCCTGGGGAGCCTGGGCAGTGCCAGCACCCTCTGGGGGAAGAGCCTTTCCCTGATCTCCATCTAAACCACCCAACATAGCTCCAGCCATTCCCTCTCACTGCCACGGGGAGCAGAGACCCGAGCTGCCCCTCAGAAGTTGTAGAATGACTGGTTTAATGTGGTCTCCAGGGATGTCCCCTCCCTGCCCAGTCCTGTGTGACACCTCCATCACATCCACCGTGCTGCTGCTCTGGCCTGGGGGGATTCTCCCCTGGGGGGATTCTCCTGAATCCTGGTCCTGCCTCTTCCCCTTGGCTTTGTGAGTGAGGAATTTGCAGTTTATGGTGTTGAGCATGAGCAGGATCCCAACCAGGGATGGCCAAGTGAGAAGTGCTGAGATGCCACCAGAGCTCCTTGAGGCCCCCCAGCTCCTGGAAGAGCCCCTGAAGGGCTGACCTCAGGCAGGTTTGGTGGACAGGGATCCAGGAAAATGTCCATTGGGTTGGGGTGGGAGTCCCGGAGCCCTAAATCCAGCTTTGCTTCTGGAAAGCACCAGGCTGGACCCAAGGACATGACAGTGGTGTTGAATGTGACATGGGGAAGCAGCTAGTGCCACCCATGCCCCCTCTCCTTGGTCCCCTATTGCCAGTGCTGGGGTGGCTTTGGGGGGGACACTTCTCCCTAACGCTGTCCCAGCCCAAACACCTCCAGGAGGGGACTTCCCAAAGGGAACCTCCTTCCTTGGGGACCACCAGTGGTTCCCTCCTCCCTGAGCCTGCCCTGCATGAGCCATGGCAGGAGCACTCCCCAGCTGTGCTGGCAGCTCCCTGCAGCCACAGCTGGCCACAGCTGGCAGCGAGGCTCTGGGGGGTTTCCCACCCTGGCAGCAGAGTCGGAGGGCACAGCTTTGTCTGGACAAGCCTAACTGAGCTGCAAGGCTGGGAACTGGGGGGGAATTCCCCGTGTCAGGCTTAAAGCCAGCTGAACGTGGCATTTGAGCTGGGTAAATGGGATTGTCACGTTGGAAAGGGGAACTGCCCGGGTTAGAAGGGGACTCTTTCTTTTCTGGAGGGAAGCTCTGGGAGCAGCTCCTGCTTCAGATGATCCCCTCTGCTCCTGCTCAGGTTTGGTTTCATCCTGCTGGATCCATCCTGGGTCATCCTTCCACCCACTGGACCTGGCTGTGATCCACAGGGTTGGAAGGGACCTTAAAGGCCATCCCATTCCAACCCCCCACATGGACAGGGACACTTCCCAAATTCCATGTGGAGTATCTGCCACGTGCACTCGTGGAGGGAGCATGTGACTGCCTTTGTACCTTGAATCCTGCATGGATTTCGGTCCTGGCGAGGGAAAGCTGCTGGAGCAGCTGCTCTGGGATCTCTCCCATCCTATTTTGGCCCTAAAAGCAGCACGAGCAAGGCCTGAGATGTCTCATGAAGGGACTTTGCTGCAGAGCATCTCCCTGAGGTGCTTGGATCCCAGCTGGGACCATGTGGAAAGTACATCCAGGGTGGTGGGGAGACCTCCTTGGTGTCCCTGGCACTGCCACAGGCTGAGGCATTGGAACTCTGTCACTGCAGCTGGCACAGGGTGCCCAGAGCAGCTGTGGCTGCCCCTGGATCCCTGGCAGTGCCCAAGGCCAGGTTGGACACTGGGGCTTGGAGCAGCCTGGGACAGTGGAAGGTGTCCCTGCCATGGCAGGGGTGGGAATGGACCATCTTTGAGATTCTTTCCCACCCAAACCATTCCATGGATATTATGATTTGTCTCTGGACTGGGATTTTTGCCTGGTGGTGGAGATATTCCTGATCCTGGATTTCTTCTGCTGTTGAACTCTTTTGGGAAGAGGCTCCACCCCAGTGTCTCCTCTGAATCTCTCCATGGGACTCACCCACCTTGGGAGCATTTTGGTGATATTTGGGATGTTTGGGATAAGTGCAAAGCCTCCTGGCCATTTCTTGGCTTTGCAGTGACTCATCCTGGGATTCTTACCAAGTCCCCTTCCATCGATTTCCTCTGTCCCATTCATAATGAGAACGTGTTTGCTGTAGTAGTGTTGGATTCTGATCTTTTCTGACCACTCTACAAATCCATTTTCTACATAGTAGGAGAAGGAGGGTTTGTTTATCAGGCTGTCTCTGTGATGGATAATGGGCTCCCACCAGCTCTCTGACATCCAGACAGGGGCCAGGAGATGACGAAGGGACAATTGTGACAAAACAGTCCCCATCCCTGTGGTTCAGCACGGCTGCCACCCCTGGAAGATGCTCCAGGTGTCCTTGGAGAGGGTTTGAGGCTCTCTGAAGGCATCACCACCCACCCCAAGGAGGGTACAACCCCAAAATAATGAAATTGGGAAGCTCAGGTGTTTTTCTCCATGCAGGACATGCCCAGGCAGCCCAGCTGGGTCCCAGCCGGAATTCACCGGGATGGCAGCGGGGGCGTCACGGCCACGGCAGCACCGCCGCGTCCCCGTCACCTCCGAGGCGCGCGGGTGCCACTCAGAGCGGCGCTGGCTGTCACAGCTGCCTGTCACCGCCGGGGAGCGGGGTGGCAGGGCTCTTCTGCCGTGTCGCCTGTCAGCGACACGCCGGAGGTGGCTGTCACCCGTGGCCCGATCGGTTTTCCCCTTCCCGACTCTGCTGCTGGCACAGCTGATCCCATCAAGCGCGGCTGTTGATTTTGGGATGAGCTGTGCCGCGCGGAGCAGGAGCCCTGACCTTTGCTGGAGCGGCGAAAGAAAACACGGAGGTGTCGGAAGGAGGGTGGCATTGCCTGGCACCGCGGCTGGGCTGTCACTGGGCAGTGCCGCCACATCGGGAAGCGGGGTTTGGCTTTTGGGAACCCCTCGGGAGGCAGGGATGGGGTGGGTGACCGGGGGAAGTATCCACGGGGCTGTTCAGTGGGTGCCACCCTGCGAAATTCCGCTTGTGCCCAATGAAATGCCAGCTCGGAGCGGGAGAGGGCAGCGGGGGGAATTATGGCCGGGAGAATTCGGATTTTTGAGGCAGGCAGGAGGCTGCTGGTGATAAAGTTTTTAAATAGTCACTGGCACGGGGGCAGCTTCGGGGTGCTAGAGAGGGCGGAGGGAGGGAACAGGGAGAGAGGGAGGATGGGAAGAGGGAGGATGGGGAGACGCAGCCGCTGTCACGCTTCAAAGCGTGCGAGGATCAACCGATCCCGCGGCCCCTTCTCCATCACGGGGTCCCCACGACAAAGCCCGACCCTCCCTCCCTGCACCAAGACCGCTCATGGGGGTTTCCCCCTTTGTAATTAGCGCTAATTGTGGCAAGGTGGGGGGTTTTCAATGAGAACATTCCTCCTGTGCTGGGGGGAGGCTGCTGCATCTCCCCCTGGGCATCCCCCCGAGTTAACACTGCGAGGAATCCGGGTAAAGGGGAGACTCCCCAATTAACTCCAGAGCCCCCCAAGCCCTCGGGGCTGATCCCCGGTGCCTCTCCCTGCCCTCCTGCCCCGCTCCGCTGCTTTGCCCTCCTGCCAACAGCGGCTCTATTGTTAAACGCCGCGATCCTACGTGGCTCGCTGCCGCTAATGAAGGTAATTAGCTGTGAGTCACGTCGGGCTCATTTATGTTACGAGGTCAAAATCCCCGCTACACTTCAATACATTTTTGCAGCGAGCACATTTAGAAAGTAATTAAAAGGCCCAGCAGCCGCCGTCGCCTCCATCCCCTCTCCCCCTCCCCGGGCTGGCAGGATTTAATTGAGGCCAGCCGAAAGTTAGTGGGAATAAATTGTGGCTGATAACGTGGAGGTTGTAATTTAATTCCGGGAGAAGAGCTGCTCTGGCCGGGGTGTTTAGCTCTTCAGGGAGCGGCCTTGGAGCGTGGGTGATGACAACTCAGTTTTCTAACAGGATTTAGTGAGGGGGAATGACACTCAGGGAGGCATGAGGCTGGGCACGGAGGGGTCACTCACCTCTGAGATTTGTGGCCCAAATTCCCACCCCTGGGAGATTGTGGAGATGGAGGTAGAGGAGGGATGCTGGTCCGGCAGTCCAGGGTGAGTTGTCACAAAAATTGGTGAGAAAATATCAAAAATATTGGCAATGTGGTGCTGGGGACATGAACTCCCCTCCTTGGCTTTGAAGGGAGCTTATAAAAGTTTGGCAGAGTGACTTTTTACACGGGTGGATAAAGCCAGGACACAGGGAATGGCTTCCCACTGCCAGAAGCCAGGGATGGATGGGATATTGGGAAGGAATTGTTCCCTGGGAGGGTGGGCAACAGGCCCTGGCACAGGGTGCCCAGAGCAGCTGTGGCTGCCCCTGGATCCCTGGCTGTGCCCAGGGCCAGGTTGGACACTGGGGCTTGGAGCAGCCTGGGACAGTGGAAGGTGTCCCTGCCCATGGGAATGAGAGGATTTTAATGTCCCTTCTCACCCAAACCATCCCATGCTTGTGTGATTCTGACATCTCAATTGCTGCCTCTGCCTGAGGAATGACCAGAAGACAAGAAGGATCCAGAGCTGCTGCTGGTCGGAAGTGCTGCAGCAGGATCAGCTCGGGCTGCTCCCAGGATTTCTAACCCGGGGAGAGGGATGTAAATGTAACCTTCAGCCGGCCGGTGCAATTAGAGCCCCGTGCCTGCCGCTATATTAAAATGGGATATTGGAGCAAACAGCGGCTCTCCCCGCTCCCTGGGCTAATATCCAGCGCCTGTTTAGCCAGGGATTTGCTGGCACTCTGAGCAAACAGCCGGGAGCCACCGCTGGTGCCCGGGAAACCTCTCAAATCCCTGAGTGAAAATTCAGCCTTTGGATCCCGGCACGGATCCGCTCCCGGGGCTGAGCATCCTGCGGGGCAGGACCTTTCCCGTGGCCGGGAGGAGCAGGAGGAGGAGGAGCAGGAGCAGCTTTTCCACCCTTGCCAAGGCTGAAGGAGGATGGGGAATCCAAGCATGACCATGCTTCTGATTGCCTTCCTGCTCCAGTGGTGCCAGTGAACTTCCCTCTTTTTCCTTATCCCTCTCCCTGCTTTTCCCCTGGAAGGAGAGCACCGGGACTGCCTTTAACTCTGTTCTTCCCCTGGAACAGGAATGGAATCACCTTTGGAGAGGCTGGCACTCAGCTTTTCCTCAGCTGCCACCTCAAGCTGTAATGTCTTATTAAAAACTGACAGTGAGGCTGCTCCAGTTTTATTTCCCCTTTCATCCTGATGTCATTCCAAAAGTTTTGCAATCCCACCCTGCCTCCGCAGGGATGCACCCTCTCCCCTCCCTGGTCCAAACTGGGTGATGGGATCTGGGACAGGAGACCTCGATTCCCACAAATCCCAGAGCTCTCCTGCATTCCAGCAGGGAGCTCAGAGAGGCATTCCAGGGGGAAATAGCAGGAAAATCCCATTTTTTGTGCACATCCTTTTCTCCCCTTCCCAAAAAGTCTGAACCCCAGCTCTCGATGCTGTTACCAGTGCTGCTTTTCCTGGTCTCTCCCTGCAGATACGCTGTCAGTGCCTCGCTGGTCCCCGCAGATCCCTCGGCGGGATTTAGGAAACTCCATAAAACACAGGTGGGCCCCTCCCCCTGCTGCCGTGCCGGGGGATGAGGGATGGGCATCTCCCTTCCCATCTCTGCTCCAGAACACCGAGATTGGGGACATTCCCTCTCTTTCCGATGCTGGGCTGTGCTGTCCTCCAAGCCCATTTCAATTCCATTTCAGCTCAGATCTGGCTTAGATAAGGCTCGAGCTGCTATCAATAAATCTGTGTATTATCTGTGACCTTGCCAGCCTTCAGCAAATTCCCCATCTCGGGATTACAACCCTTCCATATCTCCCTGAAGAGGGAAAAGCACCAGGAAGAGTGCTGCTGTTTGATGGGAAGCTGCTTCCCAAGGGACTGCAGACACTGGTCCCCAGGGCAGGCAGAGGTTTTGGGGGGTCCTGGGGTGGGAATCCCAGGGAGTTGGGGGTGGATTCCCTTTGGAACAAGCTTCCAGAACCAAAGGAAGGCTCGGGGTTGTGTTTTGGCATCCCTAGAAAAAATTCCTCAACACCTGCAGCGGAGTTTGAGGGCAGCAGAGAGAGGATGAAGCAGGGCTCGGGAGATAAGTGAGGCTTCAGCTCTCCCTCTCTGTGTTTCTCTCCGCAGGTTTTCCACCAAGTACTGGATGTCTCAGACCTGCACCGTCTGCGGGAAGGGAATGTTGTTCGGCTTAAAATGCAAAAACTGCAAGTATGGCGCCGTGCCGGAGCTGTTTGTGTCACTCCTTAAAACCGGGAGGGGACAATCGGGGTCTGGCCGGGGGAGCCGAGCAGGGATTTGGGCATGGAGACACCAACCAGGCTCTCGCCAGCTCATCCTCACAGGAAGCTTTAATGAGATGAGGAATTGAGGGAATAACACCCCAAAGCAGGGCTGGGCTTGTTTCTGGGATGGGATCAGGCTCCTCGGGGAGGATGTGCCTGCCAGACCTCGGCTCTGCTCGCTCCAGAGCTCTGAGTCAGATCCTGACAGTCCCCCTTCCCCAAGCCTGGCTTTAGATCCCCACGCTATGGAGATTCCCGGTGGAATTATCTGCAGGACGTGGGGGATGGATGTGCTGGACCAGGCAGGGATAGCTCTGGGCATCAGGTGGGTTCTGCCCACAGTTTTGGGCTGGAACCTCTGCTTCTGCCGAGTTTTGGGCACTTCTGTGTCCTGGCAGGGTCCCCGAGGAGCCAAATCGGTTAATCCATGATACAAAGGAGAGGGGATAAAACGGGACAGGAGCGGAAAAACAGCGAGGCAGAGCCTGGGGCTGCTCCCAGTCCACCACAGCCCGGCCTTGGGCAGAGCCGTGCGGCCCCCGCGCTTGGGGAAGCTGCTGCTGGAGCCGGGACTGCCTCTCCTAGAGCTGGGAATGTGTGATTGTCTGCGGGTAACGGAGCGGTAAGGATCGCTGCTGCCGCTGATTAAGCGTTGATGAGTTGGTAAATTGGGATTTAAACCTGCCGAGAAGCGCTCGGTTACTCCGCAGCTGGTGGGGCTTTTCTGGCAGGGATGTTATCAAATACAGGGATTTTAAAGGGGTGATTCCCGTTCTATCCATGCTCAAGGAACTGGAGGCTTTTCCTGCGAGCTCTCCGTGCTGGAGGAGGGATCCCTGACCAGGATCAGGGATGCTGTGGCTCTGGCTGTGCAAATCCTGCTCCCTGTAATCCTACAGAAAAGAACAAATCCATTTCCTGGCAGTCAAAAGTTGGGAGTGAACACAAGGCATTTAGGCTTTTTCCAGCCTTGCCCCGGCGCTGCTTTCCCCAGAAAGCAGAGGGGAACCAACAGGTAAAACAAACAACTGGACCCCAAATCTCCCAAGCCTCAAATACCAAATTAATTCCTGCCTTTCCCTCTAGGAACAGTTTTGTAATAAAAGCTAACACGGGCAGCTCCTGAATTTTCATTACCCAGCTCATTGACTTGAAGCTGCCGTTCTTTTTTTTTTTTTTTTTTTTTTTTTTTCCCATCATTTCCCCTTGTTTTGATAAATCCTTTCCTTCTTTTTCCCTTTTCCCCCATGGCTTTCTGCCGGCCTGGCAGAGCGTGAGCTGGGGATGCGCTTCCATCCTTAATTAAGGAGGAATGGGAAGGATTTGGGAGTCTGCCTATGCCTATATGCATGACCCGGGGGTGAAGCCCTCCAGACTCCTGCCCTGGCTCCGGAAAAAAAAAAAAAACAAACCGGGAAAAGCTCTGCAGAATATCCAGAGACTGTAAATCCTCTCTTTATTTTGGCTAAATGTGCTTAATAAATGCAGGAGGGGAGGACACAATGACAGGGACACATCAGGGACCAGGACAGCCACTTCTTCCCCCGCTGCTTCTCCTGAATTTAGTTAAGCATCCAGCAGCAGGATGGTGGGAATGGGGATTGGTTTGGGCTGGAAGGGACCTTAAAGCTCATCCTGTCCCACCTTCCAGTACACCCTTCCCCAGTGCAGGACTCTGCTGCTTTTACTGCAGCCAGCTCTGGCAGAAGTGACAATTCGGGGAGTCCTCAAGCCTGGCTGGCCCAGAAAGGGGCAGCGGGGCAGAGCCCTCAGGTTTGGGAATTTCTGTGCTGCTCCACTGGGATGGAGGCATTTTCCGGGGGTGTGCAGCTCCTGTGTCCTGCCAGTCAGCCCCTCCTGGTTTTCTGGGATGTGCATCCCACACTGTTCTCTATCCCTGAGCCTGCTGCTTGGGAATGATGGAAGCAGGGAGCCTGCAGGGCTCAGACTGAGTGAAGGACCAAAGCTGTGCATCCAGTCACTTTCCCAAGGGGAAAAGGAGGAAAAAACTCCATCACAGAATCCCAGAATGGCCTGGATAGGAAGGGATCTTAAAGCTCATCCCATTCCACCCCTGCCATGGGCAGGGACACCTTCTGCTATCCCAGGCCTCATCCAGCCTGGCCTTGGACACTTCCAGGGATCCAGAGGCAGCCACAGCTTCAACCTCCCTGCCAGGGAACGATCCCTTCCCAATATCCCATCTATCCCTGCCCTCTGGCAGTGGGAAGAAGCTCCCCCTTATCCTGTCCCTCCATCCATCAGTTTTCCCTTCTCACTCCTTTCTCTCTATCCCCTGCCAGGCTCAAGTGCCACAACAAATGCACCAAAGAGGCCCCCCCGTGTCACCTGCTGATCATCCACCGCGGAGGTGAGGCCCCCTGCTCCCCGCTCCGAGCTCCGGGGATGCTGCCAGCGGGTAAAACTTTCGAAAGCCCCCCGGGCGATTCGGGAGCCGGACCCAGGCGGGGTCCCCGGCGGGACGGAGGCTCCCGAACCGCTTGGGCGCTCCGGGGAAATGTTACCCACCGTTTTTTCCGCTTGTAGGGAGACGAGCCGGTCGGGGCGAGGCAGATTTGCATTGCAAACCACTTCCACCCACCCTCCCCCTGCCTCCTTTTCTTTTCAGATTCCCCACCGCACGGGGTAAGTCCAACCAGGTTTTCGCCTTTTGCTTCTGTCGAGAGCTCAGGGCGGATGTGGGACCCCGAACCTCCCGGTGCATGCGGGGTCCCCGCGCCGGGGACGCGGCCGTGGCCCTGCGGATGCTCGTGGTGCTTTTTGGAGCTGCCTTATCCCGCTCTCCTGCGGGAGAGCCCGGCCTAAAACCCGCGCAGAGACAGGCAGAACCTTGCAGCAGGACGGCGGGGCGGCGCTTCCCACCTCTTTTCTTCCAGATTTTTGGCTCCCTTGCTGGCCAGAGGACCGCGACTGCCTGAGGGAAACGCTTCCAATCGCTCTTGCCTTGAATTTTGAGCTCTTAAAGCTGTTCCTTTGTGTTAAATATCTCCCCAAAACCCGCTCCTTGCTTTAATCCCGGGGAAAAGGATTTTGCCGGTGGCACCTCAGAGGGGGCAATTTTACAGCCCCCATCCCAAGCCACGGCCTCGCTTGCAGCAAATTTGGGTGGAAGCGGTTGAAGATTTCCCCCCCCCCTTCCCCCGTCAGGCTCGGAGCTGCTGCAAACCCTGCCCGGGAGGCAGGGAAGGGGCAGTCGGGCTCCTGAGACAGGCAGGAGTTGGGATTTAGGGCTGTGATGTTGCCAGAGCCGGAGCTGCCCGCTGTGTGTTTTAGAAGCGGCATGGCTTTCGGGTGGCCTCAGCATCACTGAAATACCTCCCCACCCCCCCAAAAAAATCCCAAACCCAGCTCTTAAATCCATTTTCTTGGAGTTAAACCATTCCTGAACCCCCCAGCCTTCAGGCTGGCTTTTCCCCCAGAAGTCTCCCTGCTGAGAGTGTTCTGAGCCAGCTCCTTCCCCTCACCCCATAAAGCTCCAGCAAGGAACAGGATTGTGCTGGCTGAGCCCCGGTTCACAGAGGAGTCGTGGCAGCTGCTGGACCCTCCCAAATTGCTGCCTCGCACCCCGGGGGGGTTGGCTGTGGCCGGGGTGCAGGAGGATCCCGAAGTTCAGCTGCCACCCCAGGCTGGAAGTGCCGCGGGAATCGCTTTGGAGAGCGGTTTGCAAGCACAGGGCGACCCCGAGCGCTCCTGCTGAGCTTTGATGTCCTTCCCTTTCTCTTCCCCTTCTCTCCACCCCCTTTTCCCTCTCCCCCTTCTGAATCCAGCAAGGTTAGTCCGGACGGAGTCGGTGCCCTGCGACATCAACAACCCCCTGAGGAAGCCCCCCCGGTATTCGGACCTGCACGTCAGCCAAACGCTCCCCAAAACCAACAAACTCAACAAGGTGAGCCCTGAGCCCCCTGTGTCCACACCCTGCCACAGGGACAGGACCCCCTGCACCCAACTATCCACAGCTGCGCAGAGAATAATGGAATTCTTCCGGCTGGGAAAGATCATTTAGGAAAATTGAGTTTGATTGCTCCCCCTACACTGCCAAGGCCAGCACTGTCCCATGTCCCCAAGTGCCACATCCACATGGCTGCTGAATGACTCCAGCTCTGCCCTGGGCAGCTGTGCCAGTGCCTGACCACCCTTTCAGAGAAGGAATTTCCCCAAATTCCACCCTGAGCCTCCCCTGGCCCAGCCTGAGGCCGTTCCCTCTCCTCCTGTCCCTGTTCCCTGGAGCACAGCCCGATCCCCCCGGCTGTCCCCTCCTGTCAGGAGCTGTGCAGAGCCACAAGGTCCCCCCTGAGCCTCCTTTTCTCCAGGCTGAGCCCCTTTCCAGGTCCCTCAGCCTTTCCTGGGGCTCCAGCCCCTTCCCAGCTCCATTCCCTGCCCTGGATATGTATCCAAAGAAGTTATTTCTTTTAAAATTAAAATGGGATCAGCACTTCCAGAACAGCCTGGATCCTGCTGTCCCATTCCTGCTCTGTTATGGCCTCTGAGTCTCCAGGCCCAAGCTGAACTTGGGGTTGTTTGAGGTCTCTGCTCCCAGTGGAGGCTTCAATAAATAACAAATTTATTGTTGCAAATAAAACCAGCCTGGAATTGGATTGTCCCTGGCGAAGCTGCTCAAGCCAGACCTGACAGAGCACCTGGCTCACTCCTGCTCTGCCTTGATACAATAAACTCATCCCAGGGCTGGTTCTGATGGAATTTAAAGCCTGTTGTCCAGTGGAAAATTCCTTGGAGGAAGGGTAGGGTGAGGGATTGGCAGGCTGGAAGTGCTCAGAAAGAGGGACATCATTGACCTGATGGGGAATGGATCAACAAAACCCTGAATTCCCAAAGCCTGGCTGAGCTCCTCCAGCCCTCAGCATCTTCTGGCTCTGGGAAAAGTCTGGGTACCAATATGCTCCTGGAGATGCTGATTTTAAACCTAAATCTTTTTAGGAATTTCTTCGTTGTAGGGATCTGGTTGTGTTGTTTTGGGCTGGTGCTTTTGTCCTGAGCACTCCCACTCAGGTTGAAATTTCCCCTATAAATATTCTTATTTCAGCAGGGTCCCCTTCTTACTTTGGTATTTCTAAAAGTATTTCTTTAAAGGTATCCTGAATAAAATAATGGAATGGCCCTGGGTTGGAAGAGACCTTAAATTCCTCTAATTCCAACCCCCCATGAAATCTTATTGTTTTGACCTTCACTGGTTGCTTAAAAAAGAATTTACCTGACCAAGATTATTGAGCATGGAATGATGACCAATATGGCTTTCCTGGAAAGCCGAGCTCATTTAAGAATTAATTAATTAGGACAAAATTACCTGCTGGGGAAGGCTTGTGCAGATTTTTTAACCTTGGAAGGAAATTCTGTGGGAATGGGAAAGCTCAGCACTGCTCAGACCCTGTTCAGTGGCTCTAAGTTGGGCAGCAAGGGGGCAAATTCTGGCCCCAGTTTTCCTTTTGGGATCTAAGACATCCAAGCATGTTTTCCTGCCTGTTGGCTCTCAGTGGTCCCTTCCCACCCACCCCAATGTGCACCCAAAATCGATGGCCTTGACTGGGAAGAGTCAAGGAATGCTGAGGAATGTCTTGGGGTGCGTTGGCTGCTCATTCCAGATCCCTCTGCTCCCTGCAAGGCCCTGGGGTTTGGCCCGAAGGAGCTCAGCAGGAACTTCCTGGACCTTGTTGTCCCCAAGGACCAGGCCCCAAGGTGGTGGCCCCGATTCTGGCCTTGGTGGCCGTGGCTGTGCAGAGCCAGGAGATTTGTAGACCCCTCAGCTGGGGGTGAGGGTGGGAAAGGAGCCAATATATGATGGGAAATGGCCTGGAGGAATACAAACAGCTTTGGGGAAAGCTCTGGGTGTTTTCTAGGACTTCTGGAAGAAACGAGTGGGATGATGTCACGTGGGGTTCTCTGCACCTCGGGGTGGCACCAACCAGCGCTGCTCTCACCGTCTCCTCTCCTTTCCCTCCTTCCCTGTGTTCCTCAGGACCACATTCCGGTGCCCTACCAGCCAGATTCCAGCAGCAACCCCTCGTCCACCACCTCGTCCACGCCGTCCTCGCCGGCGCCGCCGCTGCCCCCCAGCGCCACGCCCCCGTCCCCGCTGCACCCGTCCCCGCAGTGCCCGCGACAGCAGAAGCAGTTCAACCTGCCAGGTACTGCCGCCCCCTCCCCGTGTCCCCCCCTGCCCCCTGAGGGCGACTCGTGTCCTTGGGATGTGGGACAGTTCCACCTAATTCCCTTCCTGGGTTTGCACCAGGGCGGGGAGAAGGTGGAAGTAGAAATACGGAGAAAAGATGAGTTTAGGATAATTCAGGTTGGGAGTTTCTGGTCAAATCTCCTGCTTGAAGAAGAGTCAGAGCCCAAGGCTTGATCCAGTCTTGGAATCCTCCAGAGTTGGGGCCAGCCCAACTTCTCCTCTCTTGAGGCTAAAAAGCCTTTCCAGGCGTGGATTTTCCATTTTTCCATGGGTTTCCAGGCATTTTGCCTCAGGTGCAAACAGAAACCAGGGGCTGACCCCTCTATGATGGCAAATTGGGGTGATCCTGATGTGTTTTTGGGGTGATGGGTCCCCAGCATGTGTGGGGTGACAGATGATTCTGGGAATGTCTAATGTGGCTTGTCCCATGGAATCTGGACCTGAGATCCATCTGCTCCAGGAGCTCCATCTCTTCAGGGATGGTGGGAGAGGCAGGGAGGTCGTGGTGGCTGCAGGACACAGAAGTTATGGAAGATGGCCCAAAAAGCTCCTCCTGGGCTGAGGATGTATCAAAGCCTGTCCCAGCATGTCTGCCTTCCTTTGTGATGTCCTGCTGCTCCAGGAAAGGTCCCTTCCAGGAGGGAATTGCTCAGCATCACTCCTGGAATTGTGTCCACCTGCTCCAAAAATAGAACTGGCAAGGGAAGAGAAGATCTCTGGAATGCTGAGGCACTCCTGGCTGTTCTGGTGGCCCTGCTTGGTCCATGACCTCCTTGCTGGACCAGCCGGAAGGTTGAGGTCCTGCAGACCCAAAATCCCAGGATTAATGAACTGGTGTGGTCAGAAGGAGGGTCAGGATGGCTTCTCCAGAGCAACCAGGCAGAATCTTCATGCTCCATGGTGGTGCCTCCATCTTGAGCAGTCTTCAGTGAGAGAGGAAGAGGAGAAGAAGGAGGAAGATGAGGAGGAAGTTGCCTGGCAGAATCCATCACTGAAACAACAAACACTTCCAGAAGTTAGGAACTCCACCAGCAATCAACCACCCATCATGTCCTGTATGGCCAGAGAGGTGGCAGTCCCAGAGTGCCTGGGATTCAGGCAGGGTTCTGGAATGGCACAAGGAAGCCCTGAGCACTCCCAGGAATGATGTGATCCACACACAGGGTCAGGATTTCACCAGGCACAGCCCTGGAGGCTCCAAGGTCTGAGAGGACACGGCGTGAATTCCGTGCTGGCATGACCCAGCCCAAGGAGCTCTTCCAGAGCCAAAGTGTCCTGATGTCTTGGAATCCCAATCCACTGCTGGGCCAGCCCTGGACCCTGCCTGGCTCTGGGAGGATCCAGCCTTTGGTAACCCCATCATGGGTCACTTCTGGAGCAGACACCTCCCTCTGGGGTTTGTTGGGACATTATTTCATGGATTTCAGCCCCCTTTGGGGGGCTTGGAACACATTCCCAGCTGACAGAGCAGGGCAGGATCAGACCCTGGCATCTCTGGGGGTGTTTGCTCCCTGTTTTGTTCCTGTCAGGAGCAGAATGGGATCCAAACCAGGACTTTCTCTGCTTTCATCTTCCCAGCCGGGAAGTTTTCCGTGGTTTATCCCATCAGGATGATTATCTCAGGGATTAGGATTTGAGCTTGGAAGTGGTGAGACAGTGACCTTCTCCTGCTGGAATTACCTTCCAGGCTCCTTTGATGTTGGCTCAGGTCCTGCTGCAGGGCTGAGGTCGGACTTTGGGGTCTCTGAGCTGGAGGGGGGAAGCTGAGCCATGGCCCTTGGGGTCTTGGAGATAAGGAGGTGACTTCTGAGCTGCTGCCAACCCCTGGTGGCCTCAGCAGCTCTGAGTTCTTCACACCCATGACCTGCGTGCCCATGGAATTGGATCAATCCTTGGGCTGGAAATGGGAGCCAGTGGTTGTTCCCGACACCCAGAGCCTCTCCGAACTCTGGCTTTGGACAGTGGCTCCTGGGACTCCTTCCAGGATGACACGGCCAAAGCAAGGCCAAAAAGGATGGAACGTGGCCCAAATGGGCAGCAGCTCCAAACCTCACTTGTCTCTATGATGCCCTCTTGGGGCAAATCCCAAATCCCTCTTGAGGGCCACAGCTGGCAAACTGGTGTCCAAACCCCACCAGTGACTTAGTGGGTGACATTGACGCTCTTCAAATGGTGCAGAAGAGAAGCTGTGGGGGGGAAAATCAATTTATAATCCAGCAAAGGTCTTAATTTTTTGGCCTGGGCATCCTATGTGCCATTTTGGAATATGGAATATGGGGATATGGAAATGGGAGAGGTTGGATCACACAGGAGGGCTTCACACAACTGGGGTTGAGGTTTCCTGGTGAAGAACTGGGCACAGGCTGGAGCTTTTCCAGCTCCACAGGTCAGTGTTGAAACCTTGTTCCTCTTTTCCAGCCTCCCATTACTACAAGTACAAGCAGCAGTTCATTTTCCCAGGTAAGGCTCTCTGGAAGTTTCTCCTTGGATGCTGGGGTTTCTCCTCGTGGGGATGGGTGCGTGGCCAGCTCTCCAAACCCCTGGATTTGTGCCAGGGAGGTGCTGGGGTGGGATTTCTCCTCAAAGCCTATTGGTGCTGCAGGGTTGGGTGGCCCTAAGTGACCCCCAGCCCTACTCAGGGTGTCACTAAATGGGCCCTGGGGGTGAAGGATGGGGTTTAACTCCCCTGGATACCCCCAGAGGTCTCTGACTCCTCTCTCCTGTTCCCAGATGTGGTGCCTGAGACGCCGACCCGAGCCCCGCAGGTCGTCCTGCACCCCGTCACCTCCAACCCCATGTGAGTGACTCCCCATTACCACCCCCTTCCCTCTGCTCCCCAAATCCTCCAGGCCCCCTTGGGTGCTTCCCTGGCTCAGGTGGTCCTGGTGAGACTCCCAGGCTCTGGAAGGTTGAGAAGGAGGGCAAGGGGTTCATTTATAACCCACACCTCTTCCCTGCAGGAAAAAAAATGGATTTCAGTCCAAAAAGCCCAAGCCCAAGGGATTAATTCAGTTATAATTAAACTAAAAGCAAATAACCAGCATATCTTTGCCACTTCCAATATTTTCAAGCCCAATAAACTCTAGGCTGAAAGTTGGGAAAAGCAGCATCTAATCAGTGTGAGAACCATCCCTCCCTAGCAGGTTGAGCCCAAAACCATCATTCCTTGGTGTCCTGGAGCCTGTGCTGCTCCTCCACCCACACTCCACTGCTCTGTCCCTCCTGATCCTTCCTCTAAAGGCCATTTTTGAAGGATTTCACAAGCCAGGGGTTTAAGGGATCAGGTCTGGCCCCAGTTTTTGGCTGGCTCGTCCACACTCTCCAAATTCTGCTGGGGATCCAGTGGAGCAAAGGATGGAACCTCTGTCCCTTGGGAATTCATAGAAAAATGGCAAAACCAAAGCCTTTTTTTTCCCCCCTGCCTAAAGGAAGGTGTCAAGACATAAGATTTTTGGGGAGGAACAGCTGTCAATACCCAAAATCTGTGATTCCCTCTGGCTCCCCCCACACTGAAAACTTCCCATGGAAGCCATCCTGGGCTTGGCTGGGTTAAACATCTCTGGATCCTCGGGAGACAGGGATTCGTGCCTGGGATAGCGATGAGGAGCTGGCTGCTCCTGCAAACCACCCATCCATGGAGATGTTTTGCAGCCACTTGGGCTTCCCAAGCTGCTCAAAATACCAAGATTTACTCATTTTCTGTAGGATCCTGGGATTTATAGTCTTTAGTGGCTGTGGAATGGGATAGGACTTGCAGGACTGCCATGTCCGAGTGTCCTGGGGGAGCGTAATTCCCCTGGGAAGAGATTAATAATAATAATTTATAATATATTTATATGATGTTCCAGCTGATCCCTCATTCAGAACTTCCCTAATTCCCCATTAATTGTCAGGAGCAGCAAAGCCCAATCATGGACCTGGGGGTGGGAGGTGCTGAGTGAACAGGGAAGGAAAAGAACTGGAAAACCAGTCCAATTTGGGTGCTTTACTGCAGGGAGGGGATTTCTGAACCCTCCACTTCTCCAAAATGGTTGAAAAACTCCTTTTCTTTCCTTCTGCACTTCTGCTTTGGCTGGGGTTGGTTGTGAAGAAATCTTAGAAATCCCTGAAAATGCCTTGAGTGTGGTCAGGGTCAGTGGCGGGGGGGGGAAATCTGTCCCTTTCCCTGGGTTAGTGACACCTTCTCCTCTCTGATCCCTTTATCCCCGGGCAGGAAGAGGGACTGCTCCCCAGCTCCTGGTGTTTTTCCATGGTGTTAATTCCATAATTCTTTTAACAGCCTGGAAGGAAACCCATTGCTTCAAATTGAAGTGGAGCCCACCTCGGAGGTGAGATGGCTCCTGTGCTTAATGGGCCTTGGTTTTAAGGATATCTTGGGGCACATTTCCTGGGAAATGGAGACGTTTCCCATCTGTGCAGTGGAGTTGCTGATAATTGAATTAAAGTCCAGGCATCCGTGTCCCCACCCCATGGAGATGGACCCTCCTGGGCTTAGAGTTTGGAATTCAATGAGGTTTTTTAGGAGGCATTAAAAATGCGGTGGGAGGGAAGGAAGGGAAGGGAAGATGAGGATGGAGCTTTTAAAGGGTGTTGTAAATCCTGCAGGAAGTCTAAATGGACCATCAAGGGGTCCGGAAATAATGGGAATTAACAGAGCACAGCTTAGTCAGGGGAGGATGAAACTGTTTTAAGACAAAGTAATTAAATCTCTGATGGGTCACAATCTTAAATTTAGCCCCAGGATGGGGTTAAATGGTTCCACGTGGAAGCGGTGGTGTCCCCAGCTCTGGGGGGATTTAAAGCCCCGTGCTTGTGGCACTTGGGGATGGGTTTGTAGAGGCCTTGGCCATGCTGGGGAAGGGTTGGAGTGTTGTTGTGTTTGTGGGTCCCAGGACGAGGGAAGAGATGAATCTGTCTCCATATTTCTTAGAAGGCTGATTTATTATATTATGATATTATATTATATTAAATATGCTATACTAAAGCTGTACTAAAATAATAGAAGAAAGGATACATCAGAAGGCTAGGAAGGGAAAGGAATGAATAATAAAAACTTGTGACAGACAGTCTGACACAGCTGGCTGTGATTGGTCATTAAGTAAAAACAACTCACATGAGACCAATCAAAGATGCACTTGTTGGTAAACCATCTCCAGGCCACATTCCACAGCCATCAGATGGTTATTGTTTACATTTCTTTTCTGAGGCTTCTCAGCTTCTCAGGAGAAAATCCTAGCAAAAAGATTTTCATAAAATATCATGGTGACATTGGAGTCTACCCCAGATGGCTTTTCCAACCTAAAGGATTCCATGATTCTATGAAAACCTGGGATTCTGCCAACTTTGTGTAGAACAGGGCTGCTCCATTGGCGCTGGGAGGCCCCTGCCCAGTTCCTCTGGGTCTGAGCGAGCAGGAGTTGGCTCAGCGGGGTTTTTCCTGCAGTTTCCTCCCTGTTTTATTGTTCCCCATGCCGTTTGCCCACCACAGAACGAGGAAGGCGCCGAGGAGGTGCAGGAGTCCGAGGACGACTTCGAGGAGATGAACCTCTCGCTGCTCTCCGCGCGCAACTTCCCGCGCAAGGCCAGCCAGACCAGCATCTTCCTGCAGGAGTGGGACATCCCCTTTGAGCAGCTGGAGATCGGGGAGCTCATCGGCAAGGGCCGCTTCGGGCAGGTGTTCCACGGGCGCTGGCACGGGGAGGTGGCCATCCGCCTCATCGACATCGAGCGCGACAACGAGGACCAGCTCAAGGCCTTCAAGAGGGAGGTCATGGCCTACCGGCAGACCCGGCACGAGAACGTGGTGCTCTTCATGGGGGCCTGCATGAGCCCTCCCCACCTCGCCATCATCACCAGGTTGGAGTTGGTTTTGTCTGGCCAAAAATTTGTGTTCCCTGTCTAAAAAATGCAGTTTTCCCTGTCTTTTTTTTCCTCCAGTCCAATGGTGCCGTTGGGTTGAGTTTCCTCCCCTAAAGAAGGGGGGATGCTCTCCATGTGCTGTATCCATGTTCTTCATGTGCTGGGGTTTGTGGTGTGGAGGACACAGCAAATCCAAAAGTCTGTCTAGGCAGGACGGTCTTCTGTAGGAGGGGAGCTCCAGATAGGAATGGTTTGTTTATCCAGGCACAGGAAGCATCATGGAATCATGGAATGGTTTTGCTTGTTGGGAGAGACCTTAAAGCCAATCCAGGGCTTTAGCACCTTCCACTATCCCAGGTTATTCCAGCCTGGCCTTGGGCACTGCCAGGGATCCAGGGGCAGCCACAGCTGCTCTGGGCACCCTGTGCCAAGGCCCGCCCACCCTGACAGGGAACAATTCCTAAATCCCAATATCCCATCCACCCCTGCCCTCTGGCAGTGGGAAGCCATTCCCTGTGTCCTGTCCCTCCATCCCTTGTCCCCAGTCCCTCTCCAGCTCTCCTGGAGCCCCTTTAGTAACTGGAAGACTGAGAGGCTCCTTGCAACTTTCAGGGCTTTGGGGATTTGGGGGCTTCCAGGCCACCCAACACCTCCATAGCTTTCTGGCTCTCAAGGCAAATATCTGCCCTTATCCACATTCCCAATGGGAATGCAGCACAGAGTCTCCAAGTGTAATCCATGCTTAGTTAGGCAAAACATCTCACCTGGCCTGGAGGCAAAGAGGCTGCAAGTGCTACCAGAGCAGCTGTTGTCATGGGAAATGCATTTATTCCAGGGAATTGCATGATTTCCTTCACCTCCAGACCATGATTTCAGCCATGGGACTGGACATGGTCCTGCTTTTCATCCCAAACAGGTTGTTTTCTCCCAGAGAATTTTCTCCAAGGTGAGGTTGAATTTTCCTCCTGGCAGCATTTCAAAAAGCAATGGAATGGCACCGCTTCCAACAGCCATCAGTGATGAAATATTGCATCATCTTTTCCTAATGTCCCTAATTTTCCCTTGCAAGTGGCACCTCCCAGTCCCTGATCCCAGATGGGGTGGCTCTGCAGGTGCTCTGTTCCCTCTTTGTCCAAACCAAAAGGATTTCACCCCAAATTTGTGTTACCTCATCCCTGCTCTGGTGAGTTCTTGGATGGTGTTTGCCTTGGGAGTTTCATCCTCTGGGGTCAGGGTGACTCCAAAGTGGGGCTGCCTCTCCCCAGCTGGTGACTGGAAAAACGATGCCTTTTATTCAGGACCAAAAATGAGCCATCTGGGGAAAATTCTGCAGCATTTCCATCTATTGGGTAGCTCCAGGCCAAAAGCTTTTGGGAAAGTGTGCAAACACATGTATTGATGGATGAGTCAGAGCCCCCATCCGTGTGTCACACCGCGTTCCCAAAGAAAAAGGCGGCGTCTCCGTCGCGCTCCGCCATCCCTCTGCAGCCCCCATTTGCTCAGCTTTTCAGGGTTATTCAATAGCAAAACCTGGGAAATGTATTCCTTGATTCTTTTTTATTTTTTATTCTTTTTTTAATTTGAGCCGTGGAATGTTTTCTCTTCCATTTTCTATTCAAATGGGTCTTTCCGTAAAAGCAGAAAGGTGCCATTTTTGACAGCTGGACAAAATCAGTCTGTGTGCTGCTGCAACCTGGTGAATTAATGTGAGGAACGTGGAGCTCTGCTCATGCTGTTCCTCTTCCAGCTGCACTTGGTTCTGTTTTTTGAGGTCAAAATGTAAATGTATTAAATTGCCCAAATATAACCCAAGCTCACAACATTTCCTGGCATCATTTGCTTGTTCCTACAACTCACTTTTATCTGCATCCTTCAAAAGGTGAACCAATATCAGCTTTAAACCAAAGGACAGTAAGGATGGATGGGATATAGGGAATTAGGAATTGTTGGCTGGGAGGGTGGGCAGGCCCTGGCACAGGGTGCCCAGAGCAGCTGTGGCTGCCCCTGGATCCCTGGCAGTGCCCAAGGCCAGGCTGGACAGAGCTTGGAGCAGCCTGGGACAGTGAAAGTGTCCCTTTCACCTGGAATGGGGTGAGCATTAATGTCGCTCCCAACCCAAACCATTCCATGAGAATTTTACAATTGCAACTGGAAACCTGTTTGGTTTCTCCTGCTGGGATTTCTGGGGTGCAGGAAAATCAGTGGGGCTCAGCTCAGTCTCAGGATTTTTGGGAAGCCCAGGACTGTGTGAGTACACATCCCATAGCCCGGAGGTAACTTCCAAACACAATTTTCCTGCTTTGAAGCTTCCTGTTCTGCTGTTCTATGACAGCACAGGAATCAGAATTTTTGAATTTGTGTTTGGCTTGGAAAGGAATTTAAAGCTCATCCCATCCCACCCCTTGCCACAGGCAGAGACATCTTTCACTATCCCAGGGTGCTCCAAGCCCTGTCCAACATTCCTTGGACACAGGAATCCAGGGGCAGCCACAGCTGCTCTGGGCACCCCCACTCTCCCCACCCTCACTGTGGAAAACTTTTCCTTATGTTTGATCTAATCCCTACATCCAAGGATGCTTCCTTGCTCTTGTGCTGGCTCTCCTTGTCTGGTCTATCCTTGGCTGAACATTTTTGGGAAGTCTCTGGCCATCTTCTGTAGGGAAAAGCCCTCTCACCATGTGCAGCTTTCCCTCCCATCCACGTTTCAGGTTTTTCCTAAGGGATATGACAGCCCTGGGAGCTTTTCTGCCATGAGAGCTGCTGCTTGGGTGTTGTAGGGAATGAGGCAGGGAAGAGGGCAGTGTGGGAATGTCCAGAATCCTGGGAATGGTATAGGATATTGGGAATGGTCCAGGAGGTGGCACTGGGGGAGCATCACTCTTCCAACAGGACTTTCCCAAAGGGACCCAAGTTTTCCTTGCAGGTTTATGGGAATAACTTTAAACCAGGCTCTACTTGGAGTGGGGGAAATCATTCCCAGCTGCCTGAGGAGGGGATTATGGCTATAAACTCAGGATATCAGGATTTCCTCACCTTCTCTCTGCCCATTCCCAGGGCAGGACTTTCTGTGTGTGTGGAAAAGGCCACCACTTTTCTCCTGGGAGCCCACAAGTGGCCACTCGAGGCCTTTTTTTCCACAAAATCCCAGCAATTCCTTGTGGCTGTTGCAGAAATCTCCATTTCCCTGCACGTCTGGGAGCAGCTGCGTGTCCCTGGGAAGGGGCTTCACCACGTCGTGCCACCGGCGCTGCCGGAAGGGGGTTATTTATAGCCGGGTTTATTTTTACTTTTCCCCATCCCGACGTTTTCCTTCCTGATTGCCTGTGATATTCAGGGATCGTCTCATTAGCAGAAAGAAATTTCCCCATCCAAAGAGCATGGCCCACAGGGGAAAAAATGGAAGGGGAAACTGAGGCAGCAGCTGGCTGAGGATGGGATAGTTTGGGTTAAAAAGCTGATTTTCCCGATATTAATGTCTTTATGGATGAATTGGACCAGCACTGTTTAATATATTCCTCAATGATAAAAACAGTGGGATTGAGACTGGAAAAAAGAAGGCTCCAGGGAGAGCTCAGAGCCCCTTGCTGTGCCCAAAGGGGTTCCAGGAGAGCTGGAGAGGGACTGGGGACAAGGGATGGAGGGACAGGACACAGGGAATGGCTTCCCACTGCCAGAGGGCAGGGATGGATGGGATATTGGGAATTAGGAATTGTTCTCTGGGAGGGTGGGGAGGGGGTGGGATGGAATTCCCAGTGCACCTGTGGCCACTCCATCCTGGCAGTGCCCAAGGCCAGGTTGGACGGGGCTTGGAGCAGCCTGGGACAGTGGAAGGTGTCCCTGCCCATGGCAGGGGTGGCACTGGATGGGCCTTAAGGTCCCTCCAACCCAAACCATTCCATGACTCCTGAGTTCTCTCTTAACGCGACAGAAAAGCAGAAATCCAGCATTTTTCAGCAGTGGGAGGTGGCGACTGCAAGGAACGGTTCCATCAGAGCTGCTAATGGGTTTTCTCTTGGGTAATGAGCGCTGGGGACAATTAACATCCATCTTAATTAGTCTGGAGCTGGAGCGGGTGCAAGCCTTGGTGCTTTGAGCGCTGCTTAATGGATGGCGGGAAAGGCGGAAAAGTCCTTGGCTGGGCGGGAATGAAAGGGCTGGAAAAACTCCATTTGTTGGAATAACGAGTTGGTTTTGCTGCTGGGGAGCGTGACAAAGCCAGGCCTGGGTAAACTCAGCTCCTTGGGGCTCCTGGTCCTGGCCCCCAGTGCAGGAGCAGAGGTAAAGCCTCAGCCACCCAAGGGGCCTTCCAAGGATCAAGTTCTTTCCCAATCCTGATAAAATGGCTCCAGCCACCCATGAAAGCAGAAACTCCCACATTTTAGGATTCTGGGTGCTCCTCCTGAGGAAAAAAAGGGGGGATTTGAATGCTTATTTATGCTTCCCAAGGCTCCAGGTGCTCCTTGGGTCTGTAATGAAGCAGGGGATCAGCACACTGCATGCAGCTCCTTGGGTTCCTGGTGGTTGGGAATGTTGTTTGGGAGAAGGGAGTGAGGTTACTCAGTCTGGGAGAAGATTTGAGCTGGACTTTGACTGGGCTTTGAGCTCACACTGGCTTGTGTGGGGGAGTTTGGGGCAGCTTTTCCAAAATTTCTTGGGTTTTTAGTTAAAAGCTCCACCGTGGCTCTCGGAACTTGTGCAGGGAGTCTGGGATTTGCTCCTTGGGATGCTCCAGGCTGGGTTTGTGACCCCTCTCTTGTCACGCCAGGGTGACTTCAACTTTCCAGGGTGCTGCTGGTGATGCCACCGGGGCTGTGTGGCCATGATTTATGTCCCTGCTGGGAAGGCCAAGGAGAACACTGAGGAACATTAGGAATTAACCTGACCTTGGCAGAACTGTGTAAAGAGAATTAATTTGTCGAAAGTGCCTTTGGAGCCGAGGAACTTGGAATGTTTCTGCTGGAGAGGGAGCATCTCCTAAACCCTTCCCTGGAGCTGCT